TCAGAAGCAGGAAGAGAAATTGCTTAGATTTCTAGTTGGTGAAAAAGGTTAAAGAATTTATTTAGTTGATCCCCCACCACCACCACTTCTCCCCCCGTTCTTCCAACCTGGAGCTAATAAAGGATGCTGTCATGGAAACGTTAAAGACCAAACATAGTCTAAATTATCTGACCTCTGGCACAGGTAATACAAGTTTTGACTTACAAGGATTATCCAGAACTAAAGCCAGAGGGAATATAAGGTTGCTATTCATTCACACTTTGAACAAAATCTGCCAAACAATCCTGGCTGAGGCAATGTTGATGTATGTCTCTATTGTACAGTGTGTAGTAAAATGAGAACATTCACTTGGGTTTATCCAGTTTTTCATTGTGCCTTTGGGCAGACGCAACTCTTCATATTTTGCCAAGTGAGCCAGCATAAGGAATTTATGAAAAAAGAGTAATGTAGGAAACAGAATTTTCAGGTTGAAATAGAAAGCAGATGCCTCCAAAGGAGTGAAGGCAATATAACAGGAACTTGTCCTGGATGAACAGTGGGATGGATTTCTAAAAAGATGCAGGTGACCAGAGGGGAAGAAGGAGATTGTAGAAACCCACTTTGCTCGAAGTTTAAAATGAAGGCACGTTGCTGCAAGTGTGATGGAACTCAGTCACATTACTGTGGTGATGGCATGGCAAATTGAGTGCAGTAGGAATGGAAGGGGGTGATGGAAAAGAGGGAAGAAGGATTAGGTACTGGACTGAAGCCATGGGATGTGTGTTGAACTCAGCTCAGCCTGTATTTCTCCTGCAATCTGCTTTTTCATTATTTCCAATGAGAGGAGCCTAAAAGCCTCATGAGTGCATGTGGGTTAAAGCCCCTTCCCAAGCAATGAGCTAACTGAGGTTTGGTCATGGAAACACTTGAGCACTACTCTCATTTCAATGAGATTTAGAGTCAAATCTGCTTCTGGACACTGAGCACTTTAAGGAGCTTGCAATAACCTGCACAGAATAAACCATGCACTCATTTATCTGGGAACAGGTCCTGAGGAAAGCTTAACCAGGCCTAATGACGTAAGTGGTGGTTCAGATTGAAGTGAAAGCAGCTGGCTCTGACGCTGTGTTGTCACTCTCCCCTCCCCTGTCTGTGCCAAGATAAATGTTCTCCTCTTCACCTTTACTCATTAAAATGTCTTCCTACCCACCTCTGATGAATCAAGAGCATGTTGCACTGCACACTGAATGGCAAAATTAAGTGAGGGAATTTAATAAAGCCTCTCAGACTGTTGACAGGTAAGAAATGACAAACTGTTAGAGGGGAAAGCTACAGTACTATTATTATTATTGTTATTAATTAAAGCTTTAAGTGATGAAGAGACTGGAGCAGAAAGAAGGCCCCCTGGAAGCAGGTATTTTTCAGTTTTTTAAGGACTCTGTCAAGTTAATTGTTGTTCTGTGAAGTTCTTCATTATTCGCCATAATGTGGGGGTTTATGTTCTAAGGTGCGTATTTGATAAAGAAATACCTTTTTTTCCAGTGTGAGCAAACAAATCTTGTGACATGGACGTGCTGCGTGCTCTGCAGGTCTAGATACCCCTTCTTTTAAGAGGAAAGATAGACACATATGAAACCATAAACACATGTTCAAGGTGCTTTGGGTTTTTTTCATAAGGGAGCAGGAAACAAGTCATGAGCACTGACTAGACAGGAAAAGCAGCACTCTGCTTTGATCCCTTTTTGATCATGTTTGCTCATGGAAAGGTGATGGCAACTGCTCCTATTCTGATCTGTACCATTTCTGTTCTTTTTCCACTCATCTCTGATGGATGAGAGTAGTTGCAGCAGGTGAAAGCAACCTTTCCCACCAGATCAACTTTTATACCACATCACAGCTTGTTTTTAAGGTGCAGGAGGGTGCTAGGTGTGCTCCAGTGAAGGAATCAGCCTTCCTGCTCTCCCTGACCATGGCAGGGTGTTGGAACTGGGTGATCTTAAGGTCCTTTCCAACCCAAACCAGTCTGGGATTCTATCGTTCTACTCTTTGCTACTTGTTAAGTTGTTATCTGCCATGGGCGTTGCTGAGGAGGCTCATTTGGGGCTCTCCAAGGCCGGTTCATCAAGCTGATGTGCTGCTGCCTTCTTGCAGGTGATGCTGGGCTGCGAGGCTGCTCTACTGGGCTCGGGATGGATAATTTATGGCAGCTCAGGGCTTGGACAGTTTATGCAGTGGTTTTGTTCAAAAATGATGTTATGGCTTGAGAGTCACAGCTGTCAGCTTCCTCTGTGGATGAGCAATGAGACCTTCAGAATGAAGGTGCATCTTAATGGAGTGCCTCATTTCTAGAAGCCTCCACATCAAAATTAATCTCAGTGCACAAACTCATTTCCTTGCAAGATCCTGTGGTGTTTGTTGGTTTTTAGTGTCGTCCGTCCCTCCCAAGAGTAAGTACTGCAGTTCTGAGGAAGATAAATGATTTTCCTCAGGTATAGTAGCTGGATGGCTTGCTTCATCATAAGAACAAGAGCTCAGCCCAGTCATGGAGGTACGAGTGTTGCCTGTTTGTGGAAATTCAGGTGACGCTGAAATCAGTGGAACTTTAGTGTCAGGAAACCTCTGCTGAATATCCTATCCCTTCTTGACCATCATAGAGCTGGCCAGTGCTTTATCTCTCTCAAAACATGATTTGTGAATACGGGGGTGGGGGTGAAAAGGAAGGGAGGGTTTTTTAAAATCCTTTTTGTCTCCTTTGCTATTCTAACTCCCTGTGTAAGCAATTCAGTAGCCTTTAAGTGTCTCCTTTCCTCGGTGTAAGGTTGAGCTTCAGCTGAGCTTTTTAAAATACACACACAAACCCCTACCTTCCGTAGCAGGTATTTCAATTCTTGTAGCTGAAAGGTGAAATTCCTGAGGAGTAGCATGTCAAAGCTGCAGAGATATCGTATGGAAAACTTTGATGTGTCCCTGGGTCATTGGAAGGCCGTCGCACCATGAGTCGGGTTTGTACCCAGCACTGAGACAAGGTGACATTTCAAGGCGCAGTCAAGGAGGAGTTAAAGTTCTGTGGGGGGAAAATGTTTCTCTAACTATTTCAATTAAACTCTAAATGCCTCTAAAAGACAATACACAAACTTGAGATTACGTCAAAATATGCTTTGGTTCATATCTTCAGAGTGATGTAGAGTGATAATTGTAGGAAATAAGTTACTAAATGGAAAACAAGTAAGGGGATGTGATGGTGTTTGATAGTACAGCCTGAAATAAGTTATTTCTTTTCCTTGTGAAGAAATACATAAGTAGCAAATTATCTGTTAACAGGTCCTGTTAAATGACTCTGTGAAGTATCAGAGATGCGCACAGTATAACAAATATTCAGGATTATGGTGTTCTCAACTAAAATGACTTTGTTTTCCATGAGCAGATGCAAATCTACTTCTAAATCATGCTAAAATCATGAAAGCCCCAAATAAACAAAGCTCTGTTTGAATGTTTAAGTATTTCAGTCTGTTATAGCTTAAAGTCTCCATCCCGCATAGACCTATGTGATCTTCAGTCTTGTACATGTATCTAGTTCTAATGTAAAATCAAAGTATCATAAATCCATTCTAACTACTGAGTCCTACTATGAATTATTCAGCTTTTCTAATTCCTGATTGAGATAAAATGGAATAGTTCATTTTATTATAACTGTATTCTAGAGTTAATTATTCATAAGCTCATAACAGAAGGTGATATATTTGGTAAGTGTGACTGCTCAATAGAATGGCACTCGAGCCCAGCAATCTGCCATTGAATCTTTACTGAGGACTGAGCAATTAATTTTGATTTGAATTATAAATCATGTAGATTACTGTAGATTAGTAATTTCTGATGTATTCTTGTGTTTTAAACCTAGCAGTAATATAGCAACAAATGTGTTTCAACACTTGGTAAAATGAATGGCATTTCCACCACAGGACTGAATTAAAATGGTGTTGAAACACTGTTTTATAGCAATGTCTTGTAATTACCTGGCACCATGTATTTCCTGCTTAGTTTAACTGCATATATCATCCCTCTCATGTCATACAGCACCTCTTACACATAACACAGCTTTTGAGACTGAAGTATATTTTTAACATTGTTAATAATGCTGCATAAAATGGAAGCATTGCACAGACTGGAGCCCTGAAACTAGCTGAGGGTTCTTGAAAACACATTGTTGTGCAGTGTGGGGTTGCTGGGTGTTGGTCAGAGAGTGCCCAGCTGTGGAGACATCCAAGGTCCATTGCACTCACACATCTCATACAACTTGACTTGGGATGGTTTTGTCTTATTTCCTCTTTATGGCAACACCAAACCATCCCAGAAACTGGCCTGGAAGTATGAATAATGAAATTCACAAGATGTTCCTTACATTCATATAAATTGCTTTAAAAGGAACTGGTGAACTCAGTTCTGATGAGCCAGTGGAGAGAGCAGGTGCAGCACTGGGCCATTGACTCTTTGTGGAGAAAGCAGAGCCCTGTGGTCTTAAAGACCATCTTTATTGCATGTATTGACATGTGAGGCACATGTGTGCCTTCCATTGCTGAGGTGCAGGCACAGGGTGCCCGGAGAGTCTGTGGCTGCCCTGTTCCTGGCAGTGTTCAGGAGCAGCTTGGTCTTGTGTTGAAGGCACTGTTACAACAGCATAATGACTTACTAAACCAACTTGAGTTAGGTGGCCAAGCATGATTACAGGGCTTCTTTTATTCAGAGATGTCAAAGATGGAGTTGTCTTCAAATCAGTTGTGTCTTTTATTGTGTTTAAAACTCTAATTTGCTGTTTGTTCCTCCCTGAAAGATATTACCATATGATCGATCATGTCAAGATACTGCAGGTATCAGTTGCCTCTTTTTGCATATAACCAAGTGAGATGGGAGAAGAAAGAAGAAAAAGCTGAACTACTGTTATTTTAAAGATCTTCTCAATTAAGAAAACAGAGCTAAACCCAATCCATTCCATTTAAATAATTTTGGGTGTGTGTTCTATGCAGGTTCCGCAAAGGAATTGATTGAGAGCTGCTGTGGAGCTGGCCAGCAGTGGGCTATAGACAACGGGGAGTGCACAGAAATCCCTGTCAGTGGAATGGATGGTGACATTTGCAGGTACGTGAGGCATACCCGAGTGGTTTAGGTTAATGTAGAGAGCAGCCCTTCAGGAGAAATCAAATGATTGTACAGTTCATGGGATGTCCAGGAGACTGGGAGCTGCTTAATTCACTGGGTGAAATATTGGTAGACTTGCAATGTGTCTTGGCAAATTAGAAAGAAGGATTTTCTCCTCCCATTTTCCAAAATCTAGTCTAAACAAAAACCTCTTAGGGTTTCTTTCTGTCCCTCACATGAGCAGAGCACAATTTTGTGCTTCCCAGTTTTATGCATGTCTGTGGAGTTGCAGAAAAATAGCAGGGCAGAGTTTGTCTTCCATTTGGCAATGCTAAATGCAATGGCTATCTGTATCATTAAATGATGCGTTCATTGTCCAGTATGATGTCTATGTTCAGCTGGAGTGGGGACCATAGGCCTTGGCAGTACTGCTGGTACTGGTAGCATCTGGGCTGAGTGAGGGTGCCAGATTCCAACTGCACAGGAAGGAAAGAAGAATGGGTGCAGAGTAACATGGACAGCATATTACACTGGCTGTAATTCATCTTCTCTCTCTCTCCTCCCCCCTAGTCTGAAATGGGACTTAGGGAGGGATGAAGGCAAAGTTATCTGAGACTCACACAGTGCAACGTGAGCCAGACTTCTGTAAGAGTGATCCCAATGTTTTCAACATTAAAAAGAGCCTGGAATAATTGGTTTTATCAAAGTTAGTATCATTGCACGTTTCTGGAGTTACTGGGAGATGAAAGTCCTCCCCCCACCTGGATGTGGCATGACATAACTGACACATACCAACCACCTGTGAAGTAAAGACAGATTAAAAAATTCCAGCCTTGCCCTAAGTAGGTGCAAATCCAATACAGTAATGAGCTGCACGTGCACATCTGAGGCCAGGGTTAGATGAAAAAACCCACATCCAAAATGTTACAATGCCTGGGAATCTGTTGGGATTTAAAAGCTATCAGGAGTTCAGTTGTTTTACTTTCAAACTTTCAGTTGTGTCCCTGCTTTAAAGATTTAAAACCACCTGTAAATATTCTGTGTAAAGCAAACATTTGATGTGGAGACGTATTCAAATCCGTGGTCTCAGAAGGGAAAGCATAGGCAGGACCTTGCTGCTCCCACACTGGAGCGTGGCAGACGTGGTCACTGTACACGTATCCAAACCTCAAGTGCACCACTTCGTGTGGCAGAGTGCCTGCAAGTAATTCAAGCTCCCAAAGGGTCTGCTGCTATCCTGACTCAGTACCTAAAGATTTTAGAAAGTGGAAGATAGGTATTGACTGTAAAAATTGGTTCCTCTATCCTACAAATACTTGGGGTTCACAAGTGATCATCACTGCACAAGGGATTGATTTGCTTCAGCTGAAGCAAATGAATGAAGCCTCCCCTGTGCCAAGGCTGGAGATTGTTTCTAGAGAAGTTGCAAATTGACGAGTCTGTTGCTTCCAAACGTAATTTTGGGGTTTTAGGGTGGTGAAAACTTGAAGGTTAAAGCTACTATGGATGTGGCTTGTTCAGCCTGGAGAAGAGAGGGCTCCTTAAGGGGAGAACTTAGAGCAGCTCCAGTGCCTAAAGGGGCAACAGAAAACCTGGAGAGGGGCTTTGGACAAGGGTCTGTAGGGACAGGACAAGGGGGAATGACTTTAACCTGCCAGAGGTGAGACTGAGATGAGCTCTTAGGCAGAAGCTCTTCCCTGTGAGGGTGCTGAGGCGCTGGCACAGGGTGCCCAGAGAAGCTGTGGCTGCCCCATCCCTGGCAGTGTTCAAGGCCAGGTTGGACACAGGGGCTTGGAGCAAGCTGCTCTAGTGGAAGGGGTCCCTGCCTGTGGCAGGGGTTGGAACTGGATGAGCTTTAAGGGCCCTTCCAACACAGACCAGTCTGGGATTTTACGTATTTTGATGTCTCTGGACGTTCATGTATCAAATTGGCCTGTCTCTGTGTAGCAGCCAACAGCCCTAACTGCAGGATGGGACCTGGGGCTTCCTAAAAGAGGTCATGTGTGGTAACTTGTGGATGAACTTAAAGCAAGTTAAGGAAATCCTTAGATAGTCAGTTGATAGCCAGATATAAAAATATTCGCAGAGCTTGTGCCACTGGCTGTATCAGAAATAGGATGTTGGGCTAGATGGAATCTCCTCTGACCCAGGATAGCAATTTTTATCTCCTAACTGATGTGTGTTTTTTCATAGCAGATCAGTGTTTATCTGGGTGGCATTTGCATCAGCTGTACAAATATGAATCCTGCTTTCTGCTGACACTGTGCCCCGATTAGAGACTCACATCAGTTTAAGATGCTGACATCATTTCACTGATCTGAACTCATTAACTCTTCCCCTAAAGCAGAAATGTTCTGAATATTATTTTTGAACCAACATCTCATTTATCGGGTCTGCAAAGAGGAGGTTTGTGAAGAAGAAACAAGAGAATGTGATGAATACTGTTCCCAATTCATTTCTGGGGAAGGAGCAGTTGAACCTGAGCTATGCTGATAGGTGAAGAAATACTAACATAACAACTGGTCAGTGATACACTAGTGCTTCAGCCAGTGCTGTTCCCAGGATGTATTTCACACCAGAAAGAAATTTCTCATGGACAAATGTCACACTTCAGAAGAACACGAATCTATGGAGTGTTTCAATGCAGTAAACACTATGCATATATAAAATGCTTTTAGTAGCATTTTGTCATTTCAACAAATGGTGAAACCTTTCAGTTAGTTTGTTTTTTTGGGTTTGTTGGTTTTTTTTTTTTAATTTTTCTATGAAAGTTGGTGTGTCTTAACTAAGCAGTAGTGCTTAAATTACTGGTACTTAAATATATTTGGGTAGTAACCATTCATTGCTCCAAAAATGGTATTTCTCCAGTTGGTAATTAATACTGGAGTAGAAAACTAACTTCCTTGAAAACAAAGTGCATGGAGGTGGTGTTCCACTTCCTGTAATCAAACTCAAATCACAGCTTCCTGGTCATACTTCCCTTATGTTATCAGCACAAAAATGTTAATGTAAAGCTGACACCACAGGCCACTGGCATTGGGAAAGTGGCCAAGTGGCTGTCACTTGTGAAAGTGGATGGGTTTCTACTGGAATAAGAGACATCTCTTTCCTTTTTAATTTCAATTGAAGCATTAGGATGAAAGCTGTGAATTGGAAATATATTCTTCTCAGAAAAGGAAAGCTTTTGTTTCCTGGACAACTGTATTTTATTTCAGTAATAATGGTATCTGACTGACAAAAGTTGTTTGCTTGCAAATATTTCTGTTGCAGGAGAATGCTTTGCTATTAGATGCTGGCTGTTAAAATGCATCAGCCTCCCATTCACCATTATCAGGGTGCCCTACAAGGCAGCCTGCCCTGTGACAGTGCATCAGCAAATGATAGACACCAAGGTTATTCTTGGAGAAAGAAAAATTTTGCTTAATTCCTTCATGCCACCAGATCTGTCCAGAACAGAAGTTCACCCTAACTCATATAACATAATACAGAAGTTAATCTGAGCTTTAACACATTATCTGTGTCACATATGCCCAATCCACAGGTCACGTACTCAGCATAACCCCCTCAAGCGAATTCTTGTGGTCTGAAGCTCTTAGTCCTCACCCTTCCCTATCACAGGGACCCTTCCCTCTCCCAGGACCAGATGTTCCTCCTGGTGCTGCAATGCGTGGATTGAGAGACAGGGCCGTGGGGTACAGCCAAAGGGACTGATTTTGCTGCCCTTTTGTACAAGAATAAAAGAATCATGTACCTCTTTGAAGGGGCTGGGGTGGGGAAATACACTATAGACTTTAAAATAGTAGGGAAGAATATTATTTCAATGAACATCTATTGAATTTCATTTAGGAAATTGCCATTGAGATTTTTAATATGTTTCATTTCAGCCTTCAGTGAATCTTGTTAAAATGTTTAATTTGAAGAGCCATGTGTAGGAAATGTACCTACCCAAAGCACTTCGTATACAGCGATCAAGTCACCCATAACCTTCTATTTGATAACCAGAAGCTTAAATTCTGGGTTACAATCTGTGGAGCTATAAAGGAGAGTTTATAGGGGTTCTGTGACATTATACTTCCCTTAAATTTTGTCCAGAGCTTCAGCCCTCTGGCTGGTGAAGAAGTGTGTAGAGGTGCATTTCCCTTTGCCACTGTCCAGAGAAGAAGGCTTCTGTCTGTTTGCTGCTTCTGAAACCTTTGAAGACTTCAGAGAAATAAAACCTAGGGCAGAGGGACCCTTGCACAAATATAGGAGAGCTGTAAAGGATATCAGTGACCAGATGTTGAGAGACCTAAACTCAATGCTTCTTGAGCATTTATTAATGAATTTTTTTACTAGTAATATGAACAAAATACATCCTGCAAAGGTCAGTGGTACCATCTACACTAGTATTGAGACATATGTCAAAGAGAGACCACATCTCTGGAATACGTTGTGAATCCAATAGGTCCAGGGCGTTTTGCATCCTCTCCTGATGTCTTCTCAATGTGAGTGAGTGCCTGAGCTCATATTCCTTTGCAGAATTGCTCAGAAGCAGTGCTGCATCTCCACCGTGAAGGAGAACAGCTGCCTGGCCGGCATGATTGCTGCGAAGGAAGGAGATGTGTGTGGGCCAGAGGAAGGAGATCCCTGTGGAGGATCAGCATATAAGGTGAGTTGCTCTGATGCTTCTACGGGCTTTGCTGTTAATATGAGGTGTCCTCATGTCCTGCATTTAGCAGTAGTTTCTTCATATATTATCATGGAGCACTGAAGGTTGTAAAGTTGCAGGAATATGGCAGGGAAATGACGCTGTTTGCATTGAGGTTTCAATTGACTGGTGATGCAGCTTCTTCAAAAGCTTCACAGGAATGTTGCTTTGAATTATTTCCAGCTCTGTTTTTAAGGTGTAACTTGCTGTATTACTTTTGCTTCGTCAATTTGGAAACAGCTGAAAAGACCATTTTAGTTTTTCTGTCTGGGATGTAGAAGGCTTTAGAAAATGATAGAGCAAAACTGAATCAATGATCTGATGTGAAACCCATTAGTGAAGAGTTTACTTGGCTGCAGGGTTGAGCTGCAGCCTCATTTCTCAGTTAAACAAGATTACAGCTTAGATGAAGAAGCATTTGAGATGATGATGAAAGCTTTTGTTCATAAATAAAGAGAGACCATTAAAGAATGGTTCAAATCACAAATCATGAGCCACAGCCTCAGCTTATACAAATGAGATTTGCTTTATGAGAACCAGTGGAGCCAAACCAATTTAAACCAGTTCGAAGATTCAGTATCTTGCTTGCTCGCTCTTCATTTTACCAGAAGGGTGCATATCAGAAGTCATTTCACTCTCATAACAATTTACATAGCTATAGCAAAGCTGAAGTGCAGCTTCCGTTGTCTCAGCAGGGAACTCATTAGTTCTGTCTGTTCTCATATGCTGGTGATTCTTGTGGATAATTGTTCACTGGAAAAGCAAAATACATGGGTGACTGCTGAGGAGTTTCAAGTTTAATCAGCTGTGTTGATTTGTCTTTTTCACAGCCGTTATTTACTTGGGTTTGGAGTTTGCCATAGAAAGAGAATTTGTACCTTTGAGAGAAAGCATTAATATTTCTGAAGTCTGGCAGGATTATTATCCTGAGGTTTTCACCATGGGTCTCTTACATGCCAGACAGAGCACGAGCTGTAAAGTAAGTCTTAGCACACATGCCCATTGCTCAGAAAGAAGTGGAGAGGGAAAACATCATAATTCCTGTTTGAACTGAAACAACTTACAAAATAATCTTGTGGAATAGCTCCTCATGCCAGTTCCGATGTCATGTTTTCCTTCAAGAGAAACTATCTGAAATGGTAAATTATCAAGGAACAGCTTTGCCCCCTGCAGTCCTGATCCAACTCTGGGGCAGCAGCACAAGAGGGACGTGGAGCTGTTGGAGCGAGGCCAGAGGAGGCCATGGAGATGCTGCGAGGGCTGGAGCAGCTCTGCTCTGGAGCCAGGCTGAGAGAGCTGGGCTGGGGCAGCCTGGAGAAGAGAAGGCTCCTGAAGGGGAGACCTGAGAGCAGCTCCAGTGCCTGAAGGGGCTGCAGAAAAGCTGGAGAGGGGCTTGGGACAAGGGATGTAGGGACAGGCCAAGGGGAATGGCTTTACGTTGAAAGAGGATAGATTTAGAAGAGAAGTTAGGAAGACTGGGTTGGATGGGGCTTGGAGCAAGCTGCTCTAGTGGAAGTTGTCCTTGTCCATGGCAGGGGGCTGGGGCTGGATTAGCTTTAAGGTCCCTTCCAACACAAACCAGTCTGCGATTCTATGAAACATTCCTTCAGAGGTGACCGCACAGAAAATGCTGACCGTGTATAGCAGTGTTTCCCCTGATCCACTTTGCTGTTGGTGACTGCTGTGTCTGAGAGCTATAGATCAAAGGTATTTGTCTGGAATGTGAAAAGATTTTTTCCCCAAAGACTTTGCAAGATGTTTGGACTGTCCTGCCAAAAGCCAGGTGTTTTACTTCAGGTAATGAACATATGTAGTTCTTCAGGCATTTTAGGTGTGGGGTCCTTTCTTTTACTTTTAGATGAATGCAGGAGTGCCAGGTCTTTAGCTATAGGTATTCAACTTGTGTTCAATACAACTTAATTTTAGGCTGCCTTCAGTTGTTACTTAGTCTAATACAACAAGCACATGCTTAGGGACTTTTTCCTAGTGGATGGGAACGCCACCATGGTAAATGATTCCTTGCAAAGATATTTTTGAGAAAAACATAGAATGTTGTGAATCTTAGAGTGATTGTCAAGGTGTGTTTCTTGATTGCAATGTAAAAATAATCATATTTGTTATAAAATCAGTTGTGGACTCTGGTGTAGTTCAAAAGGGAGCTCAGAGAAGATCGACACATTAAAGTTTTTACATTTTAAAAGGAACTTTTCAATGAACAAGTTTTTCCACTGGAAAATGGAACACTTCTATTTACCTGGAAAGTATGTGAACCCTGTGAGAAGTGTGTGAGTGATTTAATACTCCCTGTGATGCCTGCACATAGGAGAAACTGTGAATCAAATCTATGACTGAAAAATACATGTTCTGCAAGGCAAATATTCCAGTATTTTACAATACTTCAGTAAAAACATGCATTTTTTCTTAGTTACTTCTATTTTGCATATTGAAGCTGAAAAAAATTGTTGCCATACTAAAAACATGTATAGAAAGTAGAATTTTCAGTTCATAAAATTTTAAATTTGGGTATTCTGGGTTTGGGGGGATGAAAACAGGATGCTTCTCTTTTCTAGCATGACCACAAGACGTTATTTCAATGTTATTTTTTAATGCATCTTTGGAAGAGATGATTTAGTCCAGTTAGCATAAAAAATAATGCAGCATCTTCAGGACCTGCACTGTTAATTTTTCACAAACATGTATCTGGGCATGTAAAAGCAACTCTTTATGGCTGTGCATATTTACAAATGTGAACAACATCTAATATTTATGATGTTTGGGGCAGGTGTTCAGATTAGGAAGAGGAACATAGAACATGAGGTGCAGTCATAGGTACTGCGCTGAACGTGCAAGGGATACAAACTGCGTGTGAAATGCTCAAAACTAAAAGCAACAGTGTTTGAAACTGGAAAAAGGTGACTTGGGGGAAGAGTCCTGTTAAAGGACAGTGTTCCCAGCCTTCCTAGCAGAGACAGTCTCTGGGTTTGTGTGAATACGCATCTAGGATTGCTAATCATGAAACTTGATTCCTTTCCACTTCCATACCGTGTCCAACCCTCACAACACGGCTGCTCTTATTTGTTCTCCTCAGGTCAGGGAAGTAGGGCTTTTCCTCTCCTGGGAAGCAGGGCTTAATTTAGTTTTCTTCGGTTCCATCCTTGGGCTTTCTGTTGACGCAGGCAACCGGGGCCAGTTTGAATTATGACCTTCATTTTGTGTGTCTGATGCCTTTTTATAGACTGAGTATCTGAATAGACCCTGAAATCACTTCTCTTAGTTCAGAGAGGCTGTTACAGTGTAGCTGCAACCTTCAAATGAGTGCTGCTGGGCTGGATGTCCTGACCCTGAAAGGAATTGCAGGGGGGAAGAGACTCGGCATTTTATAACTGTTCTGTCAATGAAAGCACCTAAATATATGTATATATTAGAGATGTTAGGGCACTTGCGTTTAAATCCAGACAGGCATCTTCAATTCTCATATAACTCCTGTATGTTTCTAGCAGAGACTTGCAGCTCCTCAGCTTCCTTTCTTGGTTAGGTATCCACATATTATGCACTTTTTGAATCTGATAGAAACCTGATATATTTCTGTAGCCTGACTGCAATAGATTTGGATGTGACTGAGTAAAGCATAACATAGCTTTTGTCTGCACCCTGCAGCAGAGAAAACTGGAGGAGAGATGACATTTCAGGGGTGCCCCATTGCATCATCAGTGAAGCTGCTGCTTAGATGCACTCAGGAAAGAAAAGGAAGGCAAATAGCTCACAAAATACACCCTGGTCTTTCATTAGCCACTGTCTTAGCAGGAGGGTGTCCCCTGGACACTCAAGTGATTAAAGGTACAAGTAGGTTTGCAGGGCAGTGGTTCACAGGGGAAAGTCTACTGCCAGAGCTGAGATGCTGATCCTCATATCCATGCAAGATATTTACAAGTCGTTTCAAATTGCTTCAAACAACTAAACATTTTTTGAGCTCTAATACAAAGATGTGTACATCTGTGTTACTTTGTTTAGAATATGCTATATGCAGAGCAATGGCTGTGCAAGAGCTAGAAAGAGATGGTCTGTGGCACCATTACTTCCTTGCATGCAGAGTTGCTGAAACCATTGTCACATTGAGACTTGGTTTGCAGCCTGGCACAGTTAGTGTAGGATGGCAAACCCAAGCACCAGCAAAGCTTTGATGTCTGCAACTGTCTAAACCAAGGGGCTTCTCCAGATGCTCCACTGTTGAAGACAGTGCAGATCTTTGCAGGGCTATGTGTGGGCTCACCCCTGAGCAGATTGTGTTAAATCCTTGTTACTGATCTCTTCTTGCAGCAATGCTGTGACTGTTGTAATCTGGGCCTGCGATTGAGGAGTGAGGGGAAATCCTGTGAGTCCAGCATCAATCTGGGCTATCCCTGCAGCCATGTGATGCTGTCCTGCTGTGAAGGGGGAGACCACTTCATCCATCCAGAAATAAAAAGGCAACCTGAACCTCTGCCAACAGTGACACCTGAGAAAGGTAAGTGTCCAGTCATGGTTTGAAGACATTGCAGGAAAGAGTTCCTTGATCTTAAAACAGTTTGAAATTAATAATAATAATAATAATAAAGTAGGTGTTTCTGGTTGTTAAAATATACCTTCTTTAGTAGTGTGGGGGTTTGGGTTTTCCCCCTGAGTCACATAGTACAGAGACCTGCCACAAGACATTGGTAAGAAGTAAAGCTGAAGCTGGTCATTGTCTTTTAGCAGAAGCAATCCTGAAAGATTCTTCATTAAGCAAGTAGTCCCATGGGTTCTGATACCAGTGAAATATCCCGGGAATAGATTTTCTATTGTGCTGCTGAACATCACAGCAGCTTTCTCATAGCACACTCTGGAGAAGCCTCAGAGGACTGCAAGTTAGTTTGCACTCTTTCAACATGCAAACATGGTGATGCTGAAGATCTGAGTCAAATCCCGGCAGCCAAAGAGGCGTGATAAAGGGAGCATGAGGAATGTGGAGCTTGGACAGCTTTGCTTCTTCCCTCAGCCCAAGACCATACTCCCTTGATATCGCTCTGTAGCCACCAGTCACACATGAGTTGCATGGTGACCTCCTGCATATGCTGGAGTTCCATTTTTGCCCATTTTCTTCTTGTGAACTAAGTGTGTATTCTTCCTCACCAACAAATGTAAGGGTTTATTTTGACCTAGCTGAGGCCTCACTGAGCGAGGAAGTTTGCACATATGTGTTTAAGGAAAACTGACTAAAAAACTTGCTGAAAAACTTACTGTAGTATGGTAGAAAGTCTTGGCAAACCTTGTCAAGAAAGGAAAAGTATCGTGCTTCTGGCAGGCTTTAAAAGCAGTAGAAAGGATAGCCATGTCACTGTCAAGAGGGTCCCCGAAGGTTTGTGATGCTAGCTACAGAGGTAACCAATAAAGTAGTATTTTGTGTTGACAAGAGTTTCCAAACCAACTGGACAAGTTTTTCTCCTGAAATTTGAAATTCAGTGTTGTTCTTCAGTGGGGCCAATTTCAGACAGGGCCTCAGTGTGATTCATTGGTTCAAATAATGGTAGCAACGGTGTTAGCAGTCCATGTGAAAGGTGAGCTTGTGACCTCCCAGTGTCACCGTATTTCTCAATGGCCCCTGTAAAATGACTGTCCCTCCAGGAAGGAGGTGGTGGATCTGCAGCACAATGGTCTTCAGGATGGGTTCATTTGCTCTTGGATTGTTCTGGGTGGATTTGATATCTGGAGTTCATCTGGTAAAACACTCTGTACTGTACAGTCCTAATCCTAACAGTCCTGCTAGAGAAACAGCAAGTGTTGTTCTGTTGTAGTTTCAGAGACAGAAGATCACAATGAAGCTTTGTCCATCAATAATGAAGCTGAGCTGTCAAATAATCTGCCTGGAGATGACCTGGATGAATGTCTTATCTATGGTGGGGAGCTCTGTCAGCATTTGTGTATAAACACGGTGGGGTCCTACAAGTGCTCGTGTTTTCCAGAATTCACTTTGCAAGAGGATGGGACCAGCTGCTCTCCAGGTGAGAAAATGGGCAGGAAACACCATGAATGATGGTGTCTTTGTGCCAACTGCATTGATCTATCAAGCTTGCTTTGTTTCTGTGAGGTATTTGATGGGTACTGGTGCATAGACATTTGCTGTAGGAATTGGACAGGTTAATAATACAGAGGAAACCAACAATTTAGGCAACTTAATTATGCCTTGGTTTTGTGTATTGGTGGCATGGGGGCAGGGTGGTATTTAATATGTTCAAATGAAGACTGTTTTCACTATTCAAAAGAGGATTTGTAAAGGTTGTTAATGAAATACCTTTTCTTCTCAGAGTCATTTTGTATTTCACAGTTAGCTTCCCTTTAAATGAACTTTTCCCCAGACATCATTGCTTCCTGAGTTTTGATTTTTATCTAAAATCATTAACATCTTTCAGCGTGTCGTGGGTTCAGCAGTAGCGGCTGGGTTTAAACCACGACACAGTGATACAAAATCTTAATATATCTAGTGTGGTGGAAGGCTTGAAAAGAAAGTCTCTTGTGCTGTAATTATTTTGATGTCTGGAGTTCTCCAATGGCAAGATCTGAAATCAGATAACCTTTAACGTTGAAACCTTATATTAGTTACAAGTGCTTTCAGTTATTTAACAAGCAGAGTAAGTGCTGCCATCCAATGACAAAGTTCCATAGACTTCAGATACTTTCTGCCCAAGCCAAACAGCATTCATTATGTCATTCTTCTCAACATCATGCTACAGTGCTTGCATCAATAATGTGTTTGACAGGATTTCTGCAGCAGTGCTCTGTTCTCTTGCTTATATTAAAATTCTGGGGAAGGAACCTGATCCAAAAGAGGCAAAAAAAAATGGTTCTTATTTTAGCACTGCAAATTTGGCTTCATCCTTCACCTGGAGCATATGTGTGTGGTTTAGCTTGGCTTTGCTTCTCCCACTACTAACTTGAGTGCAGATTTGGGTTCATACACCTTGTATCTGGGTAGTCAGTGCAGATGCGCAGGACTGCAGTCCTCATGCGTGTGCCAAGAATTGAGGGGGGGGCTCAGTTATCCCTTGAGGAAGAGGATTGCAACAAGGGTAGGGACTGCAAGTGACACAGCTGAGACACGTAGGAAGTGTGAGGTTAGGGAGGGTTGCTGCTGTCCTCCAGTCCTGGGTCAAATCAAAGGTTGAGCAAGGGAGCTGGCAGGGCAGAACACCTCACTTGTTACACCTGCATGAGCTGTGCTCTACCTGGCAACGTGGCACGGTGGCCTTCCATTTCCCATTTTTCTCTGTGTATGTGCATGGCTCTGTCATGTGCTCTGTGCACCCACACCAGGTAGTTGTGAATCTCATACTGGTGGTAATTTTTACTCCTGTGATTAGATAGAATGCTTTTGTATTTGAACCTTTCCCAGCACATTTCCTGCTCTTTGATGGACTGTGAAAGTTTTTGCATTTAACTTTTGCTTTTTAAAACGTGTCACACTTTTTCCGGAGGCTTGGAAGGAAGGATGTGCTTGCAGTGGTTCTGCGAGGCAAGGAGAAAGCAGACATTGATGAAACTTCAGAAGCTACTTCTTGTTCTCTGCTCTCTTTCTGGGGAATTCAGGTTATACCACAAGCATAACCTCTTATTTGCCTCCGTGTTATAGCCCATTGGTTGTCTCTGATGTAATGTTTATATTTTTCTAATTAAGTGGCTCTTTCTATACCTCAAACCCGCCTTGCAATCACTCAGTCATTTAATGTTGTCATTGTTCCGTGGCTCACACTTTGCTCCGGGTGACACTTGTACTCAGATCAATGAGAACAGGACACATCCCTCTTCAGAGAGAATTTAGCCTTAGCAGAGGGGGTTGGAACTAGATGATCTTAAGGTATTTTCCAAGCCAAACCATTCTGTGATTCTATGATTTAGGCTTCTGATTTGGTGATATGGATAAACTGGATTACTCCTACTAATGTACTAGAGCTTTTTTTCTTTTTAACTATTCTGATACCTTTAACATTGCTGTTTGTTTAAAATCCTCGTGACAGATAGCAGCTGTCATGTTTTCCACTTGGTTGTGTAAAAGTCATTCCAGGGTATCCTATGCTTGTAAAGGTGGATCCTTTTCATCCATGTTGAAATGGGATGTACAGAAGAACTTTAAAGACTTGGCTTGGATTCAGCATTTTTTTGGTCATACACTGACTGAAAGACAGCCGCTGTGTTTACAATAGAACAGTGTCTGAGGAAACAGAAGTAACACTTTGTTTTATTCATTTTACTCTCCAGAAGTTGTTTTCAGGCAGACTCCCTGATCTGTATCCATGGTGTTTGTGAGCATCTCCATTAGCTTGCAGTACTCTACATGTTTGGGCTGTCCGACAGTTGCTCATATCAAACAGATGGCAGCTTCTAAAACTGACTGTTCACCTCCATGCAAAGGCAGTTCTTCAGGTCACCAGGATGTTTCCTCCTGCAAACCACGATGGAGTGGGATAAATGGGAGCCTTGCCATGGGGTGATGGTGGAGGTAATGCTGTCTCTGATCTATCTCTTTTGCCTTACAGATCCTGACAGAGGACAGGTGACAAGGCTGGAAGCAGAAGCCACCATCCCTCCGGTAGCCTCTCCTTCTCAGCCTCTTCGCATCATGTCTTTAGAAGAAGAGCAGGATAAGTGTAAAGGTATGTTGGAGGTATAAACTGAAGGTGCAGATGAGTGAGGAATGTTTAGAGAGCCAGAATAGAATTCCACACATCCCTTCACCAATCTGCTTTCAGTGCACGTCCTTAATTTGTTACTTCTGGCATAAGGCTGAGTAATTGTCAGGGGAAAGCTCTGGAAGTAATTTGGGGCTGTTCTCTTATTTCAGCGTTGTTACACACCTGCTGTGTAGTTCAAGGTAAGCAGGACAGCTGTGCAGCATAGTGTGAGCAATACAGGTAGGAGTGGCACAGGTGTAGTAATAGGAGAGTTGAGTGATTAGGGCTGCCTGGACAGATTGTTTACAAACTGCATTCCCCATTGCCTAAACTGGGGTTATATTTGGGTGACCTGGAGGTTTGTAACTTCAGCTGATCTGTGTTGTGGTTGCTAATGTATTTTGCAATTTTCTTTGTATAGATAATGGTCCCTGCAAACACATCTGCAATGTTGTGGAAGGAAATGTTGTGTGCTCTTGTTTGTCTGGATATACACTCATGGCTGATGGGATTTCTTGTGAAGGTAAGCGGTTCATGTTCACCACAGAGACATGGTTAAAGCACTTTTCTACCTCATACCCCTAGGTGTTTCTCTAAGAGTTCCTTCTTTTCAGTATTGTGACTTGTAAGTGGCAGTACAGAGATCAGTGGCAGAAGGAATACCAGATCTGCTTTACAGATGACTCCTGAAGCACATCTGTCCAGTGTGCCTATTACTTGGGGACTTTAGGTGAAGACAAGCCTGGACACGTGCTTTTTCCCTTTGACATTCCAGGCTTTTTTTTCAGCCCTCTTCGTTTCTCTTCCCGCTGCTGTTCCTCCCCAGTGTCTGTCTACACAACTATGGACATGCAGCTTTTCTTCCTGAGAACGGGAGCAGCTAGCAGGACTTGGGCATGTTTGTTGTCCTGGGGAACCCCCTCAGAGCTATAGCTCTGCCCTGTCATCTGTTTTGTTTAGTTTTATTTCTTGAAAACCTGAATCCAGTGAGGCTTCAGTGCTGTGAAGAATGTGCCATTGTGAGCTAGTTCAGCTCCATGTGTTTCACTTGACACTGAAGCTCAGGCCTGCACAATGATGAATGGTGAATTCCAAAGCTGCATCATGATTGCTCATGTTGTATAAATCTTAAATAGACATGTTTGGGTAGTGGTGAAGGATATGTTTGCTTGGGAAAGGGCTGGAGGTTAAAAAGCAATGTCCTGTGACATACTTTAATTATAAATCTGGAAGTATGAGAGCAATAACAGCCAGCAGAGAAATGAAAGAAGCTTCTGATGCTCAGAATTGCTCACACATGATCCGCATCCCTCTTAATCTCAGATCTGATTGAATAACAAATCACAAATCATTTTCATGAAATTCTGGAGAGTCTGTGAAGAAAATGGGAATTTAATATCACCAGCTGAAATAATCACTGTGCATTGCTTACTCAAGTGTGGTGGAAATTAATCTGATTAATTGATGTCAGCATCAAAAGGGGCATTTCCAGGCAATCGTTTTCCTACAGGAGGTGAAAGAATTTGGTGATGTCAGTGGAAATAGTAAGTTTAAATTGCAGCAAGAGACATTTCTTATCTGTATTCAAGTAAGGATTTGATGGTAAGGGGGGTGGTGTACTGGAGCAGGTTTCCTGCAGAGTGTGCATGGCCTCTGTGTGACTGCCTGTTTTCAAGAATGTCTCTTTCTGTGATGACAACAGTGTAGGGGTGCAAGCAAGGACTGGATGATCTCTGGGGATTTATTCCAGCCCTATTTTCAGTGTAACACTCTATGTATTATAGCATGGTGCTGATGCGGTAGTTCCAGCACACTTCATTTGGACATCTCCAGTGTGAAAGAAGTATTGTTTCATTTCAGCAATTGTTCTAATAAAATTCTGTTTTTCCCTTTTGGCTGCAACATGTTGATATAGATTTGGATGAGTGCCTCACAGGTGCTCACGCTTGTTCCAGAGGACAATTATGTGTGAACACATTGGGATCATTCTACTGTGTCAACCACAGAGTGATCTGTGCAGAGGGCTTTATACTCAACAGACATAGAAAATGTGTTGGTAAGATGATAGGTGTAAGCCGTTCACCACAGCATCATAATTCTTCATGCTCTGCAATGCATTTAAACCATTTGTGCTCAAAGGCTCTCTGGCCATCTTTGCATATGACATTTCAATATGAGTTAGTAAAAACACATGTGCACCATTTGCTCAGCCACTTAACATCATGACTTGTATGCTATTTGGCTTTTTCCCTAGCAATACATTCTCAGGATACGTATAACTTTGTGCAAAAAATCATAAAACTCCATAGGTATGATGACCACAGCAGTATTGATGACTATTAAAGTGGACTAAGAAAACAGCAGCTGATCTCTCTGGACAGTGTCAATACTGGCAAATCCCCAGACATCGTGAAATGACAAAACTTCATAAATACAGCTCAAGAAATCTGCATAAGTCTGGGCAGTGGAAAAGATCCATTCCAAAATGATGGAAAAAATTCAGATTAGTCTATTAGTGATTCTGGCACCAATTTCTTTGTGTAATGTCAAAGATGCATCATAATTCTGCTGCATCATCCCTGCTATTTAAGTTCATGTAAGAAACCAATCTATTTTTACAAGTGCATTTATGAGGATTCAATTTCCTTCCAAAAGCCAAGGCTTGAGCTTATGAAATAGTTTCTGTTAGGGGTTCTTTCATAGAGGCTGGTTTAAGAGACACCTGAACTGCAGCAGTGTTGTGTGGTAATGCTGGAAAAATGGAGCACCCAGAGACCTGTAGTCACTAATGAAAGCAGCAGTGCCTGTGACTATAATGTCATGTGTGAATACATTCACCTCCTTCCACCCCTGTCCTTCTCCTGCATTTATAACATCGATCTTCTGACAATCACAGCTTTGGTTTTGTTCCTATCTTTTAAAGCTCTATGATCTCATCTTATTAATGAGCATCATATGTAGAATGGTTTTAAACTGACAGAAAGGAGATTTAGATTAGATACTAGGAAGCAGTTCCTCCTCCCTGTGAGGGTGGTGAGGCACTGTCACAGGGTGCCCAGAGCAGCTGTGGCTGCCCCATCCATGACAGTGTTCAAGGCTGGGTTGGATGGGGCTTGGAGCAAGCTGCTTAGTGGAAGGTGTCCCTGCCCATGGGACTTTAAGGTCCCTTCAACCCAAACAATTCCATGACTCTGTGATATGGCATAAGGGCATGAGCAGGAAAGTTGATGCATTGTCATAGTTTAGAGCAGAAATGCAATTTAATATCTTCTGAGTTTTTCTTAAATTGTCACAATTTTTTTTAATTTAGTTAGTTTTATTATTTCTTTTGAAATCAGAGATACTGGTAAGCATGGAAAACTAATGAAATTATTTAGTTTAAATTAAATGGCTGAGAGAACGCTACTGGAAATAAGGATGTCTTTACAGCGAAAGTACCAGATTGTGAGATGGAAAATGGTACTTGTATTTGGCCACAGTCTGCATGATGGGTTTCATGGCTTTCACAGAGCCTGTTGTACGTACCACGCTTCTGAATAGAAGGTCTGGTAAGTGAGCAGCTGAAGGAACTGCCTCACCTTGCATTCTGCTTCCGAAGATCTTGCTATTTAATCCCCTGATGTTTTTCCCGGACTATGTGTATATATATATATATATATATAGAGCTGTCCTTTTCTACATCTCCCATGAGCGCTCTGAAAGTAAATTAATGCATGTTTGTCAGCATCTTTGGCATAAGAGGCTATAGAAGATGCCAAGTGCTTCCTTTTATTCACTTTCTTCCTCTCCTGTCCTCTACTCCATGACATTATAGAGAGTTTTATTGTGACTGAGAAAAGATAAACCTCAGGCATTGCTCATTAAATGAAGGATACAGCTCTCATTTGTAAAGATAAAAGATCCTCTTCTCCTTCACTAAGTATCAAACCTCTGTATTTCTCTACTCCAGGTCAGGTTTTTACAGGTATCCTTGTAAATAATCTAGAAAACTTGAAGTTTCTCTGTTGTTTTTTGGCGTTTTTTTTTTGGCTGGATCAGCCCTGTGTGCTCCCTACCGATGCACAGCTCTGCCCTCTGTGGTGCTCGAGGACATCTGCAGTAGTTAACATTTTTCTACTTTTCTAGTCAAAGGGGAAAGCCACGAGCATACTGTGGTTTGTTTTGTTCAACTGTCTCATTGCAGCCATATTCACCTAAGGTATCCTTTGCCAGCTTAACTGCTTTTGTGCTCCATCTTGAGCTATCTCAAACTCCATGAGGGAAGCTTCTTGGTAATTTGTTTGCAAATTATTGTTGTTTTAATGATGTTACTCTTTGCATATTTTTAGGGACAGGAGGAGCAATCTTTGCACAGCAGCAAAACAGCCGATAACCTTTTATCTCTTGAATTTCCTTTAGTCAGACTGTGGAAGATTATAATTCCAGGTGCACTCAAGAGCAGATATCCAGAATTCCTGAAAGCCACCCATGCACAGTGAAGAGTCACCAGCTGTTTAAACAGCTTGCACACACCAGCTTTGTGTAACTTTGTGAACAGATATTAAAATGTCTTTAGGCTTGAAAGCTCCATGTTCTCCAGAGATAAGAGCCAGGTTGGATGTTTTTAATGTGGATTGCTTTTCCTGGTGACTTTCAGGCAAAGTCATTACCACCACCTACATGCACACTGACAGGAGGCTACTTTACTGCTTTCTTTGCTCTTCCCATCTAAATTCCCCCTTCTGCCAGTGACCAGCAAGTGGTCATTTTATTGCTGACCCACAGGGACTGTGCGTGAGTACAGGATGGGTGGTTGCAAAGTAACAGCGGGACTACATTAAGCAGATGTATTCCATAAAGCAAACTGAGCTGAAGTCATTTGAAGAGAAAAAAAATCCTGAGGAACTACAGCTGCAGGAAAAAACGAAGTCTGCATTTCACATTGTTAGAAAAAGTGCATAAAAATTAATTTTTAATGTCAAAGTACGTCTTGAAAAGAAGAGGTATTACATGATTACATTTCATTCTGGTTTTACTGACATCACATGAGGAATGTTGTTGCCACACACATTGACCTAGTAGGTTTTTCAAAAACAAACTGTTCCTTGTTTTTAATATTTACTGAATTATTTTTCCTCTTATTCCTGTTTTTTTTAAATACCATCTTGCCTTACCTCTCAGTCTGAACTGCACTGGATGAAGGCTGCAGCTCCCCATGTTGGGAGTTAACTTTGTTTCAAACTTAAAACATACCTCTTGTTTTTCCTAGTGCTCTGTAAATCATCTTTCTGACTTGTTGAGCTGGTTTCCAGTACTGAAGAGAGGCAGGTTATGGGCATTCTTGATTTTATGGGTAATCAACAGGGAGGGAAAAAGGAGAGAGATTGTCCTGTTTTATAGAAATACAGTCATCACTTCCCTCTACTGTGTTTCATAATGGTAGAGCAAAATGACAGTAGGTACAGCCCGGGCTGAACAGAGCTTGTGCAACAGCTCTGTGCTGCCCCAGCACAAACTGGGACCATAGTTCCAGGGATGCCTTTTCCCACGCTCATGCTAAGGGATGCTGTTTTGCAATAGGCATTGGTAGGAGGAGCAACGACAAGGGCAGGTGGGAACTCAGGAGGAAGATGGTGGAAGTCTTCAGAGATCTCATTTTGTGGCATGACCATTTAGGAATGTGTTTAGGAAAATGAACAAAAAAGGGCATGTCTGTAATGAAATGAAAGGGAACTTCAGTGGGCTGGCAACTGGCCTGATACCAGAGAATGACATTCATACCCTAACAGTGGATATGACAGAGCAGAGCTGTGCATACTGCATGGCTCACAATTTAAACCCAGGTCACAATCATTAGGCTTTAGAGATAGTCAGTGCATCACTTGTGCACAAAACTTTCACAGAAGGCAGAAATTCTGCTTGTAATCTTCCAGTTCCCATCATTCTAATTTCTTCAGATGCATTCTGACCTGTTGGACTTGTTTTTTTCAAGTACTCAGAGATTAGAAAATTGAATGAAACAATGTAGACAAACCAGGAAATTATATTAGATCTTTTTTTCCTCTGTGAAATCTTGACCTTCTTTCTACCTGTGTACACCTGGGAGTCAGGCGGAACACCTCCTACCTTCTCTGGGTAGTGTTTCAGACAAGCACGCTTTCCTCCTACTGGCTTTTCCAACATCGTGCTGAACTGAGTGGAGTTCACATGATGCAGTGTAGTGCTGACAGTTTGTTTATGTGGGAAGGCTTTTTGTGGTTTCCAAGAAAAGATAATCTCAGATCTGTTGTATCGCCAGCAGAGAGTCTTTGCACTGGTTTGGATGCTGTTGAGTGGCTATCCAGAGCCATTTACCTCTAAAATTCAATAAAACCCAAGCAACAACAAGAAGAAGAAAAATCTCTCAAATTTACTTAAGAGCTAGGTCTGATCGGGTGAGAGAGGTCTACCACAGCAGCTCATGTGAGCTGGAGGGGGAGGTCGTTTGGTTTGGGGATTTTTCTTTGTTTTGGCTGTGTTTCCCCAGAGCCAAGACCACTTACAAGAATTTTATTCCTTACTCTTCATTCTAATCTGTAGCAAGTAGGGAACTGTGCAAGCCTTAGGAGGACACCACTATGTAAAAACACTGAGGTAGGCAAGTACCTGCCACTCAGTGGAAGTACTCCAGCATCGTGTGGGACAGGCAGAGAGATCTCCAGCATGGCAGTGACCTTGCTGTGGATTAATCAGCTGCCGTTGGATAGCAAGTACGCAGCATGTGAATAATAGTGGTGAGAAGAAAACAATGCACAAATAAATGAGAAATAAAATGGCACCAAGCTAACACACTGGTCTTGCCAAACTCAGTGCACGTCACCAGTTAGCTGACTTCAGCAGGAACTGAAATGTCTTGGTGCTCCTCCTAATATACTTGGTAGAAAAAAAGTTGACACGTTTTCTGAGACAAAAAGTTTTAAAAATGGCTTTTCCTGTTTTCACGCTTCATGAGGGGAAGTAATGTATCTGATGTTGTACTGCTCCGAGAATGAGGTTCTACAGCCAAGATGAGCACATCCAGGGGAGCACATCATCACCGCACCATTCCCGTGCAGGTCAGGATGGCCGAGCGGTCTAAGGCGCTGCGTTCAGGTCGCAGTCTCCCCTGGAGGCGTGGGTTCGAATCCCACTTCTGACATTTCTGTTTTCAGGGATGGAAACACAGCCTTGCCATCTGCCCCATGGACTGATCCAGACTGCCCTGGAACAGGGGCAAGCTCAGGGGCAAGATTACTTGCATTAGTATATATGAAAACAGCTTCATGCGCAGAGAAACCAGATGACTGGTAATGATTATGGTCACATTTGGCTTTTGTTAGTTCCAGAAGTACTTCTTAGCTGTATACAGAGATGTAAATATGTAAGATTTTGTGGAGAAGCACAGGACATTCTCTCTTCCCAGTCTCTACCCCTTTTTGTTGCTTTTAAGTACTTGCTATTTCTAGCTGTCATTATTAAAATAAGCAAAACCTGAATCTGAGGTTATTTCACCCAAACCTATCAAAATGTACCATTTTAGAGGTATTGTATTTCCTTCCCACATTGTCCTACATTCTGCAACCTTGTATTTAAGTAATTTTATTTTTTTTTTCTAAAAAAAAAGACTTTTTTTCCTTCTCCACCTGCTGAAATCAAATCTTTTTTAATATTGAAATACAAATTTACAAACTTGATTGAGCCTTTCAGGTTTTCTCTCTCCATGTTTCCTCGTTATATCCACTTCCATGGACATATTTCTCAGGCAATCAGTGCGTTACATGACTCCTTCGCCTTCAGCCAGGCAGGCAGTTTCAGTTCCTGTCTCCAGCAGCAGTTCCACACCAGCAGCTCCTGTCATGAAGCATGTGGCATGAAGCAGCAAGATTGTTACATACGCTGATCTGGGAAAACCTGGTCATGAGCAATGAGCATTAACCACTTTCTCATTCAGTTGTCCAGGAGGTTTCTCTCCAGTAAATCAGAAGCTGATTATCAATCCTCTGCCCATACCCTGCATTTAATCAGTTTTGTGCATCACTTGTCCTCAATGCCACTGCACATTTGGGTAGAGGGGAGGAGAAGGAGCTCTCCCTGTGATTTGTGTCTTAAGTTACTCTGTGTTAACAAAAGGTCCTGGGACAAAAGTCTTTCATCAGAATACTGGAGCACAAGCTGTATTGGCTATCTTTTGGAAAAAAACGATTTCACTTGAGCTTTTGACTCCTTCCAAAAGAGCAGGAAGAGGCAGATCCCTTGCCAATACATGGCACTGACTTGTTGAACTGTTCTTTGTAGACATCAACGAATGTGTGACAGACACACACACCTGCCAGCGGAGAGAGCACTGCCTCAACACAGTGGGATCATTCAAGTGTCTCCAGGAACTGAGCTGTCAGCCAGGTTATGAACTGAAGGATGGAGAATGTGTTGGTAAGACAAGTGTTCTTCAGCTGATGCAATAGCTGTTAGCAAAAGAGAAAGGGAAGAAATAGCAAAGCATTTTACTGCGGCTGGGCTGTGATACCAGGATTGTAGCTAAAAAAGGCTGATCAAATGTTTGGCTTCTGAAATGCATTTATTTGAAATAGTCCAGCAATACCTATAAATTATTTGGAAAATTGAAGAAACCTTTTGAATTAGGATTTACCCTGCTTTTAAGGTGTTAGAGATTTCACTGATGGAGGAATTCCTATTGCATTCCTCTGCCCAGCTCTTCTTTTCTCTGAAGGGGCTGATACTGTTTGCTGTTGAGCACTGAATCACAGCCTGAGTGGATCATGGGGTTGATTCAGTCTGGCCCTTCCTGTGTTTAGGAGGTCTGTCTTGCATTTATTTACATTTGGAATTCTCATGGGGTTAAGAAGTTATTCTTCATCTCCCCCTTCTTGGCCTGTTATAGAGGTCAACTGGAGCTGCTAACATCAGCACAGCAGAAGTTGCTCTGCAGCATGGGAGTGTGCAATAGACACATGTGCCCTGTCTTCTGGGGCAAAAGTCAGTGCTATTTACTCCTAAATTTTTTACACAAAGAGTTTCCTGACAGCTGGAGTAAGATGTGCAGGGGAAGAACTGAGCTCTTGACATATACCATAAGGTCATAAACAGAACTGCTCAGAAATCTCGCTTTGTATACAGCCATTATAAAGAAACCTTGGTTTAATTGAAGAGGTTATTTGTGACTGTCTTGTTCTGCTGTCTGATTCTACAGCATTTCTAACATTTATTGCTAATCTTTCTAGTCTTAAAGTTAGGTTATAAAAGGTTACAAAATTTTACAAATTGTTTTAAAGTACCCTTTAAATTAATGGCCTATAAGAAAGACTAAAGTTTCAGAACTGCTCTGTAAAATTGCCTACAGATATCTCCTGAATTTGCAGTTTATGAAATACTCAATTCCACATTTTTCTTTGTCTCTGTCTATAGATATGGTAAGAAAACAATTAATATATGACAGGCTGAGAGAGCTGGGCTGGTTCAGCCTGGAGAAGAGAAGGCTCCTCAAGGGGAGAACTTAGAGCAGCTCCAGTGCCTAAAGGGGCTGCAGGAAACCTGGAGAGGGGCTTTGGACAAGGGCCTGCAGGGACAGGCCAAGGGGAATGGCTTTAACCTGCCAGAGGGGAGACTGAGATGAGCTCTTAGGCAGAAGCTCTTCCCTGTGAGGGTGCTGAGGCGCTGGCACAGGGTGCCCAGAGAAGCTGTGGCTGCCCCATCCCTGGCAGTGTTCAAGGCCAGGTTGGACTGGGCTTTGAGCAACCTGGTCTGGTGGGCAGGTGTCCCCGCCCACGGCAGGGGTTGGAACTGGATGGGCTTTAAAGTCCCTTCTACACAAACTATTCTGTGGTTCTATGAACCTATGAATATTGTACCTTCTGCATGTTCCCTTGTGGCCCTAGCATTTAACTGAGGATTTAGAATAGAAAGAGAAGTACCAGCAGTTCTCTCCTTGTCCTCCTGGAGGAATGGGGATGCAGATGTAGTTTCCTCTGTCTTATCTTCTAGTAAAGATGTTCATCACAGGGAGTGTTCGTAGGAGCCAGCAGCATTTGAAAAAATTCACGGAACTGAATTTTGAATGAGTTTACAGCTGAAGTTTCTTCCTGGGTGAGGTTCCTTCCACTGGAAAGTGGCAGCAAACCAGCTGGTACTTGCAGTTACTCAACACAGATCAGTTGAGTGTAAACTGATAAGCTTGAAACTTTAAAGCTTTCAGTCTGCCCAGCAAGCGTTGGGCTGGTGAACATCTCTGAGAAATAATCTCATACATGTAATAAGAAATGAGAAATCTGTGTTGGCCTCTGGCTGCAGAGGAGGAACATTGGTTACTAATATCACTGTCTGTCATTCCCATTTTTTCAGTATAGTTTTCAGAGTTGGATAAGTGTTTGTTCTGTGTATGTAAGTACATGTATATATACACATGTACCTGTGTACACAGGAAACCCCAGCCTTGTTGAAATGAGGTGCCCTATTAATATCAAATTCAGTGGAGGTAGGTTTCTACCTGGAATTACTGAGGAGCAAGAGACCATTTTGCTTTTGAGTGTGGAACATATTTTGTGTACCTTATCTGTAGTTTTGATTTGGGTCTTTAGGATTTTAAAACTGCAGTTGTCTGAGTATTTGTGGTTTACAAGAGATGCTGTGACCAAGGCAGTAGGGATCTCAGTCAGATTTGCTGTAGACAAGTTCTGAAGCCTCTGCTAAAATGGATGGCCAAGAGCAAATGCACCTAAACCTTAGATTTCCCATAGGCAATGTTTGTTATCTGATTTCAGTAATGCTTCCTAACTTCCCTCCTGAGAATTTAGCTAGTCATGAAGACTACTGAAAATTACAGCTTCACTGGTCACAATTTGGTGTTTTGATCTGATAACAGATATTGATGAGTGCAAGAGGGGAACTCACAGTTGCAAGGTAAACTTCGTTTGTCAGAATACAGAAGGATCATTCTACTGTGAGTCAAAGCAACGCTGCATGGATGGATTTTTACAAGACCCTGAGGGAAACTGCGTGGGTAAGTCTTGACTGGGAATATGTTTGTCATATGTGCAGCAGCACTGGCCAACTCCTCTTCCTTTTAGCCTCTCTAAAAGGTACATATTGACCACATGTAGTTTTCATCAAATCCTGCTGTGAATTTAACTTAAACATCACAGTCCTTTCAAAGATATGCGTGCTTGCTTATTGAATTTGAAAGTCTTGCCACAGGAGACCTTCATCAGCACAATATATTGAAATGAAGGGAAAGAAGTAACAGCTGGAAGAAAACAGACCAGAAAGGTTAAGTAGCTTCTCTCACTATTCTAATTCATTTTCTTCACCAGATATTAATGAATGCACATCTCTCCCTGAGCCATGTAAACCAGGATTCAACTGCATCAATACCGTTGGGTCGTACACCTGCCAAAGGAACATGCTGACATGCAGCAGAGGCTACCACTCCAACGAGGAGGGAACGCGGTGCATCGGTAAGGTTAGACTCCAGGGTCTGTTCAGGTGCTTTCTCAGAGGAAGAAGAACATTTCAGTTCTAAAAAAGGGGGTTTGAGGTTGCTAACTGGGAAATGGGAATTTGCTGTATGCATTTGCTGTCCAATGAGTTCGGTGATATGCTTGCACTACAGGATGCTGCACTGATGTCTGGCTGCTGCATGGAGTTCCTCCTGGTACACCAGGTGACACTGGTTTTGACTGCATATGGGATTTACTGGCTGCTGTTCTGGAGTGAATGTGCTCTAGCTACTTTTCAAACTCATGCTGTCAGTCAAAACCACAATCCTTTGCTATTTTTACAGTATCTCACTGTGAGTGACAGGATCTGAAGCCATGGGATGCAGCAAAGACAGACACTGAGTTTATGGACTCATAAGAGTAGCACTAAGTGGATGTTCTTCGTAGCACTATGAATGGTGCTCCCCATTTACATCCAGTTGTGTGTCTATTTAGGATAACTTCTTACTTTTCTTTGTGAAAAAATGTTGAAATATTCATACAGGCTGGCATGCAGCTTGATTCTGATTTGTATTTGTTCCAATGTGTTTATGGAGTTACTGACACAGAATAGCAGATTTCGTCTCTTATTAACATTTGTTCTGTAAATGCACACTATGCACAGAGGAACTGAAAGCCTGCTGCTTGGCCAGGCAGGGTTGGCTGTGTGTTCTTTAATTCCCTATGTTCTGTGTTACACAGAGTAGGAAATCATAAAACAAGAGTGGGGAGAAAAAAATAAGACAAATCAGCATTTTGGTTAGTGATGAAATCCTGATGATTTCTGCTTATAGTACCTTTGAATGAAAGGAAGGGTGGAAAATAAAGAAGATTTGCTTTGTGCTGCTCCAGGTGGGTGGAAACTGTGTTAGAAGCTGTATGATCCTGTGATTCTGTGATTAGCAAGTTGAAATGAAAAATAGTGGTATAGATAGACCCCATTTCTGCATAAATTTCTGCATTCTCCTTTTTTGCTATTCATTATGCTCTGTCTCCCTTCATGATTTTACCCCCAGGACTACCCAGACGATGCTTGGCCACTGAGAAGGTGGGAAGATTTGGAAGTAGCACAAGATGGGGACAGTTTGTGTGTAACTGAGGAAGTGGAGAAAGCTTCCTAAAACAGCTCCAGGGGGCAGAGTAGGGCAGCCTGAAGTATTTCAATTGTCACAAAGGGAAGGCCCCGAAGGTCTTTCTTTGTTGCTGTGAAGACACAGCTCTTCAGCTGGTTTCCATCAGTCCTGTTGCAGAGAAGTCAGGGGGCTGGGTACGCTTGCACCACCTGAAGTGTGATGGCCCCGACATTGTTTTTAGGGTTTCCACCATGCCAGCATCTCCATGACTGCCATTTCTTTCACAGGTCAGCAGTTGTCACTGAGCAGCTCTGAAGTACTGGCTGCCTTGCTAATAGCCTTCACTTTCAAGTCCTGCCAGTGGCTAGTGCAAATCCTCTTCCTAAATTTCAAGTGGATGATTTAAAGAAAGAAGCCAGCTTCTTTCCCCAGTTGTTCCTAAAAGAGAGTATTTGTAATGTGTGACACAGGAGGAAATTGCCACCGTTCATGCAGCATTTATATCTTCATAGGCTGATGAGATAACACAATGCATTGTAATTACTGATGATGCTTTGTCTCCACTTTACATGACTGACAATGTTTTTAAGGAGCAGGTATAAGGAAGCTTCTCCAGTTTGATTTTGGGAAAACAAATGTTTAATGTAAACCGGTGATTTCTGTCTTTGCCATGTCACTGTGTCTCCACAGTCTGGATCTTCTGGTATTTTTTTGTATGGCTTTCTTTAAGTAGTCAGAGACATGCAGGAAAAGAAACCCCAAACGTATGGTCCTACTTCCCTTCTCTGTGGTAAAGACTAGTTTCTTTAAGGCATTACAATAGCTAATTAGATTCCTGATTCAAATTTATTCACAGTAGTAAATACATAATCTGCACGTTTCCCCAGCAGAACTCTACTTGTATGGTTATCTTCTCTGCTTAGAGGATTCACCTCTCTTTAAAATGTTGGTATTTTCTGGTTTAAGAAATGAGCCATTAGAAGCTACCTCATAATGTAACTGAAAAATACTGTAGCTATTGTGAAATACAGCATACTGGTGATGGTATAATGCCCTAGAACTAATTAAAGTCTGAATGCAATGGAATATATAACTCTGGACAAAGTAATAAAATGGTTACACACACAAATACATTACAGATAAAACTGCTACTTTACAAATGTATATCTGCATTTAAAACTTCCTTATTCTGATACTGCCTCTGGATTAAAAGAAAGTGAGACAGCATTTCAGCAGAAATCTGTGAGCCTGTCAGGAATTCCTTGCTTGGCAAGTGACATTCCCTGCCATCCCTGACCCCTCCCTGTGCCAACAGGAGTTTTTTAGGTGGGAGTCTGTGCTGAGTATTGAGCAGTATTTGTCAGCACCTCTCACCAGGGTTGATACAATCCCCACTTTTCCACATCCAGGTTTTTGTGGCAGGTAACTTGCTCTCACTTCCCTATGATTTTCTCCACAAGTGACTGTTTTCCCGAGCGCTCTCCAAGGCTGCTGTTTGTTGGAGAACTGCCCAGAAAACCTTTGAAGTTAAATAGTGCTCCAGTTGATCACTTCAAAGAGAGCAGTAGGGAGAACCTCCAGCCTTAGACTATCATCCTAACTAGTGTTACATGAACAGCAATTTGGGTTGTAAAAGTAGTTGAAGGTGTCAGTAACAGGAAGGAAGCAGAACTCGATGGCTTAGGAAACAGCAGAACTCAGAATGCTTCAAGAAATACAAGTTTCTGAGGGCTAATCAGAATTTCTGATGCTTCTTGTCACAGATGGTAACAGGGATTTGTTAGATACTGATGAGCTATTTAGTCATGTTGCAAGTCTTGTAAATCAGTGTGTATTGAAAACTCTCATCCTCATTTGAGCATTATTAAAATGAGATTGGGAGTGATGCATGTGAGTGGAGAAGCAGCTAATTTGTTGGTGTTGGGTTTGGATGAAAGGCCATGAAGAATATTAAAATGTGAGTTGATTGAGAAAAGAAGAAAGATCAACATTGAGAAAGAGTAAAGTATAGACAGCAGAAGCAAGACTGAAAGGGCAACTGGAGATGAAAATAGCAATTGCTTTAATTGAAGGGATGAGCAGAATTTCTGGCTAGTTCTCGGTTTGCTTTAAATGCCTTGCCGTGACTCACAGAATGGCAGAACGTCAGAATAGGGTGTTTAAATGTCATGGTTTGAGGTTTGATCAGAATCAAAATGTGTGTAGGTTGAAATGCAGAATACACTGGGAAAGGTCCGTTGCAGTTGCCATTTTCACTTTTAAGATAATGCATTCCTTTTCAAAAGTTTACTTAGGATATGTAAAGCTGACCAGAGGAGCACAGTGGGAAAGGCTGATTCTCTTTGTTCTGTGCAGGGAACAACCCTAGCAGTTTCTATTCCTGTTACTTTGTGTTTTCTCTTCATAAACATTGATTTTTAGCAAACCGTATTTAACTGATCACTTTCTCTGGTTCTGCAGATGTGGATGAATGTCAAACTGGTGTGCATCGTTGTGGCGAAGGGCAGATTTGTCATAACCTTCCTGGGTCTTACCGCTGTGACTGCAAGATGGGGTATCAGTACGATGCCTTCAGCAGGAGCTGTATTGGTATGTAAGGCACAGGATGAGATGAAAAGACTGATTGACTGAGCCTTGGACCTCAAGGCAGTGCTTAGCACCACTGTAGTGTGCAGTTATGAGTTCTGCAATGCAGAGCCTCAGTAGATAGCAGAGTCACCTCCAAAGCAGCCATCGCCGAGTGTGACCAGCCATTTAGAGCTCTGCTATTCTGTGTTGTGATTGTGGCCCAGGTGCCCTTGGTTTGGTTAGTTGCAGGTTATCAATTAAAGTAATCTGCAAGGTACTTCCATATGGGTTATGCTTCTGCTGCTGTAGGTATTTATCTTTCTGAAGATGCCACAGCTTTCTTCATAAGATACGGCATCTTGTGATTTATCACTGCTGTGCACCAATTAGAGCACAAAGTCAGAGAGCATAAAACCTGAGGTTGCAGCATTTCATGCTCTGCAGATCAATCTCTTGACACTTTTTAAAATAACCTGCGTTTTGTTTGATGCTTTTGCTTCTAAGCTGAGTGTGTGTTTGCTTGGTGTGCTGGCAGATATAAATGAGTGCTGGAACTACCCTGGACGCCTGTGTCAGCACACGTGTGAGAACACCCCTGGGTCCTACCACTGCACTTGTTCTTCTGGTTTCCGCCTGTCCTATGATGAGAAGCACTGTGAAGGTACCAGACATTTTTCCCACTCAGAAGAAATTGCAGTCTGATTTAAGGAACTTTAGAGAAGGAGTGAGGTTCAGTATAAATACAGTAAACTCATGATGTCCTCAAATTTGCAAATATTCAGTATTCACACTGTCAGATGAGAGCCAACAAGTTTCTTCCCTTTCTTCTTTTCCCTCTCATACTTTTTCTTTTGTTAACAGAGGAGAACAGAACAAAGTAAGGACAGGAGACTGTTCATGCCAGTTTTAGTAAGGGTGAAACATGGTAGTGATAAAACCTGAAAAAATTGATTTTGAATTGAAAGTTACCCATGATTTTTTAAGGCAATGATTACATAATTTTAATCAACTGTAACATAAGGTCAGAAACATACGTTTGCATGTATATGTGTTTTCATTGGCATATATGAACATAAAATTCAGGTGGAACAGACATCCTCATGCTTCTTGGCATTCTGCCTAAAGCAGAAACATCTTCTTGGTACAAATTAGTCCCTCGTTATTCACTCTGACCAGAAGGACCTGGTAACTGCTCTCAGAGTAAAAATAGTGGAAGATACCTGACCTACCGTGGCAACGTGTGTGTGTTTGTTTTTGGATACAGATGTGAATGAATGTGATACTAGTCCTTGCAGCCAGGAGTGTGCCAATGTTTATGGTTCCTATCAGTGTTACTGCAGGCAAGGTTTCCAGCTAGCAGAAGATGGGCATTCTTGCAAAGGTAAGGCTGCTGCTTTGGCAGATCAAGTTAAATGTGTATACTCTTCAACAGGCAGGGCTGTCTGACTCTCCACAGCACCTAATGCTGCAGGTGATGCCTAAGGATGATTGTGAGTTACACCCTGCCACAGACACTGCAAATTGGGAAATGTAATTCATTTTCATACCTTTCAGCTGGGGCTGGAATACCCTTGTGCGACCATAGAACTGGTGGGGTTGTTGTCTCATGGGGCTAGAGCTTCTGAAATAAATAAATAGAAGTGAAGATAGGTTTACCTATGTAGCATCAGTTAAAGCCTCCACCGAGCCATGGGTGAGTGAAGGGTTGTTGTTACTTCTGCTCATGGTGGCTGAATGAGGAGTAGAATCATCAGAATGGAGAAAGGAAGGGTTTTACCTGTTTACTTGGAGTTACCAATAGTGACATTGGAGAGTCTCTAAGAAATTATGAAGAAACCCATGTTCTTCCTAGCACAAGGAAGCCCCCAAACTAATCTTAGAAGAATTACAGAGCTACCAGAGAGAGCCTTTCACTCATATGTGCTCTAGACTTTTTCTTTTCCATGGATCCATACTACTTGCAACCAGTATTTTGGGGAGCAGCCTCATGTTCAGCATTTCAGAATGCACCATCAGTGGTCCTAGAGCAATGTCAAACTTTCATGGTTGCATTCTTGTTTAAGAATGTATTATAAATGCATCAGATAAGAATTTCCTTGTGTTCTGCAGCCTCCCTTTCCAGATTCCTGTTTTTTTATTTACATGTGTTTGTAACTGTTTTTTCCCCAGATATTGACGAGTGCACACAGAGTGCAGGCATTCTTTGTACTTTCCGCTGCGTGAATGTTCCTGGTAGTTATCAGTGTGCTTGTCCTGAGCAGGGATACACCATGGCAGCCAATGGAAGAACCTGTCGAGGTAATGAGGAGTTTAGGAACTGAAGCCATTATGTCATGAAACTTTAATGCTTGGAATGACCTAAGCTATTATGGTGATTCAGTCAAGTCTCCATGTTTTATATCAGTCACTGCTAAAAAGCCAGTATTTGACAAAGTTGCCAAATATTGTTATCTGCTGTGTCAGCTTTTTGCTGTGGCAACCCAGCTGCCAATGGGAGCTAATTGCTTAAATTAATTCCTGAGGGACCCCACTTCATCATTCAGACTGGTGCACTTGATTACTTGCATGAGCTGTATGTGCACCTTGGCACAGCAGTAAGTGATCTGGTGTCTTAGAGGTGCCAAACATAGAAATCTGTGGCTTTGTTACGGGTTGCAGTTTCCTGTCCTGGAAAACTGGGAGAGTGAAAGTAGGAGCTGTAATGAGGACCTGGGCGTCCAGAAGCCTGCCACCTAAGCTTAATTAGACTGGTGTTATTAAATGTTAGTGTAAATGGCATGTCCTCCACACATACACCATTTTTTCCAGAGCTGTAGAAATGTGTTCTGGGTGTCTGATGATTTTCATTTGGTGCACAGCTGTCTGGTTTTGAAGTAAAAATCCCTCATTTCCAAAGGATGCCCTGACTGTGGAATGACTGAAGATCTGGTTACCTTTTCGTACTCTACATGCATTCCTGCAGTCTGTTACACTAACTACCAGGCATTTCCTGCTCTTAGGTTTTGAGGAACCTGTCACATAACTTTTGGTTATGTCTCTCCTAGGCTTAAATTCTCTTCTTAGTGGTGAGGGCAGTAAATTTACACTGTGTAAATCATGAACAGCATGAACGTGCTTGGTCCTGACTTTGGAGCAGAGGAGCAGACTAAACAACAAAATCTTTTCAGTTTTTAAGTATGGACGTGGTCACATCCACGTGCAGTTAAATTCTCATGTAAAAGTCACCTTTAGAAACTGCAGCTGTTCCTCTCCTCAGGCTTTGTTTGTTTGGTTTCTTTCCTTTGCTAACTCAAGTGCTGCTGGCATGTTCCCTGCCACCTCTGCCAGACCTGGGGCTGGAGCTGAGGACCAGTTCCAGAGTTAACAGTGTGAGTCACTTCATTCATTGGCCAGCACAGCCCTTCCAAGCTGGAGGCACCCAGCGTGCTCCAGTCACTGGAGGTGCAGGAAGAGGGTTTGCCACACGGACCAACACATGGGGTCAAATCCTCCCTGCTCACTCCTCCTGTGTGGAGAGAGTTCCTATTGTACAGATCAGCCAAACAGCAGTGTTTGGAGAAGCTTTTCGAGGTGCCTATGCCACTTGGTACATGTGCCCTCCTTAGAGGGTGAAGGTGGTCGACCTGCAGAACAGTGTGAGTGTTGCACCTCTGCATGTGGCATTTAGTCAAGCCTTTGAAGTAACGCCAGGTACATGCCCTTTTCCTGAGCTCTGCAAGTCCATAGTTGCAGGTCTGGGCAGGCTTACATGCTGACCCTGCAACCATGGTCAGAGAAAGTCTGAACCAGTGTCAGCTGTACTAAACTCAAGAAGATGATACTGGTTTCCACCACCTAAGATTGCTCATCGGTTGCACATCATCTGACCAGCTCTTATGAGTTACTGGTGGTATATTCTTTGTACCTTTCATTCCAAACAGACGAGATGTAGCTCATGTAATAACATCTCAACATATGGACCTTTGTGGAGAAACTGCCTGTGGTATTTTTCAGCACAGCCAAGCTGGTGAAGGGAGGGTCTCACGGCAGTGATTGCAATGTGGAAGAAATTTTCTTTTCACCTAGAGGCATGTCTGAGGATCAGCCAGGGATTTCGTTTGCTTTGATTTCCTCCTTCCTATTGTATGCTTTTCTTTGCAAGACTTTTAAACCAGTCAGTTCAGTGCATGAGATCAGTTCTCGTCCCAGGGGAATGGAGGGTGTGGGAGGTTATAGTTTTTCTCTGAAGAATCTCTCTCCTCTGTGACAGTTGGCAGAACTGCAGAGCCCTGCACAGTCCACATGGTTTGTCTGTTAGCATTTAGTTCATTTTAAAGCCTCCGTGCGTTGTCTAGACATTTGGGAGTACACAATGTGACTGTGAGGTCTTTGCCAGTATTTTGTGCTCAGGCTGGATCCTTGTTATTGCATCTGGTTTTCAACATTTTAAGGTCCATGGCTTGGGCCTTATTTAGGTAACCATGTTTATGCTCTAGGCCATAAAGTGTCTTTGAGCTTTAAATGTTCTTTTTTTGTCTTCTGCAGCATTACTTCTCATTACAGGGAGATATTTATATTTAACTGTGCTGGTTTTGGCTGGAGCACAGTTAATTTTCTTCATAGTAGCTGGTACGGGGCTGTGTTTTGGCTTTGTGCTGGAAGCAGTGTTGATCACACTGCTATTGCTGAGCAGTGCTTACACACAGCCAAGGGCTTTTCTGCTCCTCACACACCCCACCAGCAAGGGCTGGGGGTCCACAAGGAGCTGTGGGGGACCCGGCCAGGATAGCTGACCCCAACTGACCCAAGGGATGCTTTAGACCATATGTCATCATGCTCAGTAGATAAAGTGGGGGGAAGAAATAGGAATGGGGAACATGTGGAGCGATGGCATTTGTTTCCCAAGTTACTATTAGGTGTGATGGAGCCCTGCTGTCCTGGGCATTACTAAGCACCTGCCTGCCCGTGGGAAGCAGAGAATGAATGCTTTGGTTTGCTTTAGTTGCATGTGCAGCTTTTGCTTTACTTATTGAACTGCCTTTAACTCGGCTTGCCCATTTTCTCACCTTTACCCTCCAGTTCTCTCCCTCATCCCACTGGGGGCAGTGAGGGAGCAGCTGTGTGGGAGTCACTTGCCAGCTGGGATTAAACCATGGCATTAATTTACATGTTCAGAAAGGTGTGCACTGCTCCTAAAGCGTTGTTCACATTCTGTCACATTCAGAAAGTGTTCACATTGATCTGTTGGAGCTTGTACCTCCTGGACACTGCAGCTGGTCTGCAGTGGTTACTTTGCTTTGTACTTGCCCCATGCTTTAATCCAGAGCAACCTTCTTCACAGATAAATTCTCCTGACATAGCCCAGCTTTCTCAGTTCTCAACAACTCAGTGAGAAGGTCCTATTGGCTTTTAGCATGGGTTGGCTATATTCTGATGCAACCTGACGGATGGGATCTGTTTATTCCTGAGGGATAGCTTTTGTCGCAATATGGAGTATGACATGGGAATGTGACATGGGAATAGCTAATGTGTAGGCAGACAGAGAATATGCCTCCATCCATTGCATGTGGTTGCTCTGAGGAGGGGAAGGCCCCTCTGCAAGCTTTGTTTGCTTGGGCTATGTGGACATTTTACAGCCTCATCCATGAAGAGGGAGCACGGACCAGTGTCTGTGCCCATGCTCTGATGCTTGAAACCAGGTAGATGCTTCCTCCAGCCAATGAGCCTGTCACACATGCACAGTAGTGGACATCCACCAGGCTTGTTTAGGAACTCCTTGCATGACATAGGCTGGCTCTGAGCAAGAACCTGTGGTTCAGCGAGTACCAGTGAGCTGTGAAACTGTCAGGATTGGCCCATCACCTTCAGGAAACTGAAAACTAGTGTCAAGCAAAGCAGCAGTGAATGCATACACAGCAGCTGTGGGCATGGACAGGTTGGCTGCTCTGAGAAGTTCAGGGTTCCAGTGCCTTGGACTGCTAGCTAGTTACTTCGTTGTGTTTCCTTTCAGCCTGGTTTATAATGTGACTTACAAAACATCAGGAGCAAGGGAGAATACAGCAGGGTCAGTTCTGTCTAGATGTACACATTTGGTTTGAGCCAAACATGGTTGTGTTTGGCTTTTATTGCAGTGTGGAGTGGCAAGACAGAAGGATCCTGGGTTTTGAGGACTTTTTCTCCTTCTCATGTTGTTTCTCCACTGAAGGTTAAACCCTGTATTGCATCACATGTGTTTGGAATGAGAACAGCCAGGTCCACAGGAGTGTGCCAGTGTGCAAAGCACAGGCACAGAGACAAACTTAGCCTGTGGTAGGGGGCCAGCCCTGGCCATGCTGGCTGCCAAGCTGGGCAGAGACTATCATACAGTAGGGGAAGGCTCACAGGCTGCTGGTAGGGTGGGCTCCCTTGGCCGCTGCACACACTGAGCAGTGCTGGCAGCTCTCATTGGTCATGGCAAGGAAGGATTGTTTTTTCACTGAGGACGTATGGATTTTAGCAGGTCGGAAGCAGTGTGATGGACCTGTCACCCAGAGTGCTTGTGCACCAAGGTGACCCTGGCACACCCCACTGGCTGTGCATCACACCCCCGAGGTCTCCTCTATGCTCAGTCCTGCCTGAAGAGGTAACACAGCAACTGAGTGGTGAGGACAAGAGCCCTCAGCCTGCAGAGCCCCTGGCTCCTCTTGCTTCCTGTGCACAGTCTCCCATGAGCATATTGCATCCCCTAAACTGTGATCACTTGTGAACTTACCCTGTCTTTATCCTTGTGTTTCTTCTCGTTAGATGTCGATGAATGTGCAATAGGAACCCACAACTGCTCAGCTGCAGAGACTTGCTATAACATCCAGGGTAGCTTCCGCTGCCTGTCCTTCGAGTGCCCTTCCAACTACAGAAAAGTGTCTGACATGTGAGTATTGCAAGAACAGAGTAAGCAGCCCAGGCCAGAGCCTGAGGTGTTACCTAGTGCTTTAGTTTGTATGAGGCGGATGTAAGTGCTCAGAGCTCTAAGGAGATGCTTTGGTACCTGGAACACATCGACTTTCCCAGTATAGAATTTTTGGCTGGTTTATTCCAAGCCCTCAAGCCCCCATTTGCCCTCCAACTGCTGCTCTAACAGCAGTCACCAGAGCCTGCAGCTCTACTTGCTGCAGCTCTAGAAGAGCTCTATTTATAATTTAGTTTCAAACAATGAGATCCTCTATGCTGCTTCCAGCAGCAGTGGCTGCAACAGTCACCACTTACAGTGGGTCTGGGGCTCCCTGTTTCATATTCTGATTGCAGTTCCTCAGAGAGGGTTGAAACGTTGAAGGGGAGCAGGAGCAGGAGCTGGCCAGGCTGCAGGGTTCTGAGAATGGCACATCCCACAGCTCACAGCTACTCAGCAGCTGAGGCTTGGGAGCCCCATTTCCTGCCTTAGTGGCTGCCAGTGCTTTAGGAATCCACATTTAGTTGCTTATGACTTAAAACATACTTTCCTGCCTTAAAGAATGGAACAGCAAGTTGAGGAGCTTGTTTCCCATTCCCATGTTTTAGCTATCCTTTTAAGGGTGTTTTTGGCTATATTTCTTGGGGCACTCTCCTGGGCTTGTGCTGTTGGTGGTGAATCACAGACTCCTATTCCAAGCTCTATGCGGTGTGACTGGATCTTTCTCCTCTGTGAGGGTGCTGAGGCGCTGGCGCAGGGTGCCCAGAGAAGCTGTGGCTGCCCCATCCCTGGCAGTGTTCAAGGCCAGGTTGGACACAGGGGCTTGGAGCAAGCTGCTCTAGTGGAAGGGGTCCCTGCCTGTGGCAGGGGTTGGAGCTGGAGGAGCTTTAAGGTTCCTTCAACATAAACCAGTCTGATTCTGTGATTCTTTCCTCATTGTGGAACTTTCCAAAACAGCTGCACATGTCCATGATCTTTTCCTTTTGATACTGTACTTTGACAATGTTACATCATTTACAAATGCTTTATGGGCATTGTAAAAGCAGAACAAGCAGTTGCTAATTGCACACTGAAGTTTGGGACTCCTCTGTCTAATATTTTGCTGTAGTCTTAAATACATAGACCCTTTCCTGCTTTTACATGTGCACTGACTGTGCTTCATTTCTCATCTCTTAGGAGGTGTGAACGAATCAGTTGTTTTAACTATCTGGACTGCCAGAACACCCCAGTGCGCATCACCTACTACCAGCTGAACTTCCAAACCAACATCGTGGTCCCAGCTCACATTTTCCGTATTGGACCATCGCCTGCCTATGCTGGAGACAACATAATCCTTACTATTATCAAGGGAAATGAAGAAAACTACTTCAGCACTCGAAGGCTGAACTCGTACACGGGCATTGTCTATCTTCAGCGACAAGTGAAGGAGCCTAAAGACTTTTTGCTGGATGTGGAAATGAAACTGTGGCGTCAGGGAACATACACCACTTTTCTTGCCAAAATTTACATTTTCATCACAGCTCATGCGTACTGAAGCATGTATTGACATTGGATTTTATTGGTGCTATGCTCTTTAGCTCTTCTACCAAAGCTTAATCCTGTTGAACTGGCATTTCATGTATTTAGCCTTTATATTATTTTTCTATCATTGCTTTAAACTTTTTTATTGGTTGTGTAAATTAAGTTAATTTTTATCTTTTGTGTTTTGTTTTCTTAAGCAATTCTTTACATCATCGTTTGACAAGGAACGAAGGAAGGGTTACAGAGGCAGCACGTACATTGTGTTCAATGCTGGAACCTTTTCTTAGCAATGACTTTTAGGTTTAGTCACATCTGCAGGGTATTGCACTAGAGAGGAAAGATGTTCACTTGGGAGTATTGGGTTTTGCCACTAAGGAAAAAAACCTTGAGCAATTTCTCTTTATGACACCAGCTTATATCTTGGCCTAGCCACGGGATTCACTGAGGTTTCTCTGTGTTGGGATGCTGTTGGCAGCCATACGTGTACACTGATAGTTGGCTCATCTCATGTTACCAGTCTATTTTCCTCCTTCCAACTTTCATACTATGTTGCCTAAAGTATATATAAATAAAAGAAACCTCCACCAGAGAAAAAGCCTATGAATGAGACTTGCTTTGGTGGGACTGCTTATATGCTAAATGGTTGCAAGACCAAGGCCTTAAAAGAATGTCTGCTTTAGGGTGGAAGCTCACATTGCCACTTCTAGTAGTTGCCTTTATAGGGACTGTCATTCTCCTGTTCTGTAAGTGCTTTACCATTCTCAAAGGGAAGTCCAAGAGGAAACATGGAAATAATGAAAAAATCCATTACTGCTCCTTATTTTAAAGATTGGGTGTGCCACTAAGGACTCACTTGTGAGTCCATATAAAGACAAAGGAGGGTTGCTTCTCTTCTTCAGCAAAATCACTTCATTTGTGTTACTAAGTGGTGCCGAGGAAAATGCTGGTTCAGCTGGTGGTTTATATCACGCCATTTCAGGAAGAGCACAACCAGAGTTTTGAGCTGGATTTCCTCTGGTTCTCCAGGAAACTGGATGAGGTCCAAAGCTGAAGGCCAGATGTGACAAAGCATAGAATAATCAAAGTATTTGTAAGAATTAGAAATGAATATCAGAACTTCCTTATGGCTTTTTTCTTCTTAGAATCACAGAACAGTCAGGGTTGCAAAGGACCTTAAGATCATCTCGTTCCAATCCCCCTGCCATGGGCAGGGACACCTCACACTAAACCATGTCACCCAAGGCTCTGTCCAACCTGGCCTTGAACACTGCCAGGGATGGAGCATTCACAACTTCCTTGGGCAACCCATTCCAGTGCCTCACTACCCTTACAGTAAAGAACTTCTTCCCTATAACCAATCTAAACCTCCCCTGTTTAAGTTTTAACCTGTTAACCCTTCTCCTGTCAGTACAGTCCCTAATGAAGAGTCCCTCCCCAGCATCCCTATAGGCCCCCTTCAGATACCTCAAGGCTGCTATGAGGTCTCCACACAGCCTTCTCTTCTCCAGGCTGAACAGCCCCAACTTTCTCAGCCTATCTTCATACAGGAGGTGCTCCAGTCCCTGATCATCCTTGTGGCCTCCTCTGGACTTGTTCCAACAGTTCCATGTCCTTTTTGTGTTGAGGACACCAGAACTGCACACAATGCTCCAGGTGGGGTCTCAGGAGAGCAGAGCAGAGGGGCAGGATCACCTCCTTCGACCTGCTGGTCACGATCCTTTTGATGCAGCCCAAGATACGGTTGCTTTCTGGGCTGTGAACGCACACTGAAGCCGGCTCATGTTCATTTTCTCATCAACCAACACCCCCAAGTCCTTCTCTGCAGGGCTGCTCTGAATCTCTTCTCTGCCCAACCTGTAGCTGTGCCTGGGATTGCTCTGACCCAGGTGCAGGACCTTGCACTTGTCATGGTTAAACTCCATAAGGTGTCAAGGTCCCTCTGGATGGCATTTCTTCCCTCCAGGGTATCAACCGAACCACACAGCTTGGTGTCATCGGCAAACTTGCTGAGGGTGCACTCAATCCCACTGTCCATGTCAGCGACAAAGATGTCGAACAAGACCGGTCCCAACACCGATCCCTGAGGGACACCACTCATTACTGGTCTCCAGCCGGACACTGAGCCATTGACCACAGCTCTTTGTGTGCGGCCATCCAGCCAGTTCTTTATCCACCGAGTGGTCCATCCATCAAATTGATGTCTCTCCAATTTCAGAGACAAGGATGTCGTGGGACAGTGTCAAACACTTTGCACAAGTCCAGGTAGATGACATCAACTGCTCTACCCCTGTCCATAAGTTCTGTAGCCCCATCATAGAAGGCCACCACATTGGTCAGGCAGGATTTCCCCTTAGTGAAGCCATGCTGGCTGTCACCAAGCACCTTGTTGTTTTTCATGTGCCTTAGCATGCCTTCCAGGAGAATCTGCTCCAAGATTTTGCCAGGCACAGAGATGAGACTGACTGCTCTGTAATTCCCCGGGTCATCCATTTTCCCCTTCTTGACAATGGCGGTTATATTTCCCTTTTTCCAGTCATTGGGAACTTCACCTGACTGCCATGATTTCTCAAATATGATGGCCAGTGGCTTAGGAACTTCATTCACCAGCTCCTTCAGGACCCACGGATGGATTTCATCAGATCCCATGGACTTGTGCCCATTCAGGTTCTTAAGATGGTCTTGAACCAGATCCTTTCCTACACTGGCCCAAGGTCTTCATTCTCACAGTCCCTGCGTCTGTATTCCAAGACCTGGGTGGTGTGGTCAGAGTCTTTGCCAGTGAAGACCAAGGCAAAGAAGTCATTGAGAACCTCAGCCTTCTCCAAATCCAGGGTAGCCAGTTCTCCCAATAGCTTACAGAGGGGTCCCACGTTGTCCCTACTCTGTTTTTTATTCACTACATACCTATAGAATCCCTTCCTGTTACCCTTAACATCCCTAGCCAAGTTTAATTCTAACTGGGCCTTAGCTTTCCTAACCTGGTCCCTAGCTTCCCAGACAACATCCCTGTACTCTTCCCAGGCCCCCTGTCCTTGCTTTCACCTTTTATGAGCCTCTTTTTTCCTTTGAATTTTCCTCAGCAGCTCCTTATCCTTCCAAGGTCTCCTGGCCCTCCTGCTGCACTTCCTTCTGGTTGGGATGCAACACTCCTGAGCTTGCAGCAGGTGATCCTTGAATATCCACCAAGAGTCTTGGGCCCCCCTGCCCTCTAGGGCTGTATCCCATGGAACCTTCTGAAGCAGGTTCCTGAAGAGGCCAAAGTCTGCTCTTTTGAAGTCCAGGGCAGTGAGCTTGCTGCACGCTCTTCTCACTGTCCTGAGGATCTCAAATTCGAGCATCTCATGATTGCTGCAACCAAGGCTGCCTTGGAGCGTCACATTTCCAACGAGCCCTTCCCTGTTGGTGAGCACGAGGTCAAGCATGGCACCTCTCCTTGTCGGCTCCTCTATTACTTGCAGAAGGAAGTTGTCTTCCACACAATCAATTCTTTTTTTATTTTCCCTCCCAAAACAGCAAAGAATCTCCAGTGCTGGAATGTTCTGAGCTTCCCTTGCTCCAGCTAGAAATAGATATTCTGCAAAATGTGTCAAAGGAAAATCATAGCTACAATCTACGGATGTTTGCTACAGTACATACAGCTCAGTAATCACAGAACTATAGAATACCAGTTTAGGAGGGACCTCACGGGTCATCTGCTCCAACCTTGCCTGGTAAAATAATCAGCTGCTCTTTTCTGCAGTTGATCTTATTTTGACTTGTGTGTACACAAAACAAACGGAGAGACCAAATCTTGGGGCTTTTTATGCCATAACCAACAATTTTATTATATTGTAAAATACTTGTTTGAACTGCAGCTTCAAGTCTTGTAAACACCACCAGTATGGTGAGAAGGGAGATGTTCTGTATTCGCTATAGCCCAAGGCCAGTTTCTACCACTTCAAGTCATTTCTTTAATTTGGACTCTTACCAGTAATAAAGTGCAAATCTTTCTGTATCTGATATCATAAAGACCCATTACCAGGGAAAAATTATTGCTGTTCTCCAGCTGTAAAACTTGGGAGCTGTGGGAGTTTGCATACATCAAGCTTTTCTTTGGTTTTTCGGTAAAAATTGGTTCATACAAGTGACTTTCTTCCATCCGTCCTTTGTTTTCCTTAGTGAACAGTTCCATAGGCACTGAGCGGGGAAGTGCCAGCTGACAAATACACGTTATTGTGATTTGTCGTCTCAGTTAATGCAGATCTCACAGCCACAGCCCTGGCACAGGAAGAAGCGGCCACAGCAGCAAGTAGGAGAGCCTTTCCCATCCATTGCGCAGGATCTGTGTGAAGCAGAGATACCTTCCTCCAAGCCCCAGTGGGGGTACATCAGGAGTCACCAACACCCAGAGTTTTCCATCAGTGTTACTATTTGATTGAGCGTAAATGATATTCGAGCCTCGACAGCGGCTCTTGTCAGAGAACAAATGGACAAGCCATTTGTTACTTGGAGACCTTTTGCTGACTAAACCCAGCCACAGCCAATCATATGAAGGATCTGGCAGTTTGCAACACCAACATTTCATTTTCTAGACAGGTAATTGATGAGGAAAGTTTAGGAAAGGCTTTGCATACGATTACCAGGAAGTGCTATATTACAAGTAAAGTCTGTCTCCATCAGCACTGTGCACAGTAGGCATTCTAAAGAGGGTTGAGGTAGTTATTCAGTGCAGCTGGTCAAAGCAAAGGAAAGGCTTGTGGGAGACCATTTCCCATTCTTCTGATCCCAATATGATCAGAGGGATCTCTTACCAATCCAAAGCGTGGTCCCTGTCAGTTCTGGGAGGAGCTGCAATGCAGGGGCCGTTGGCACTGCAGCCTTGGCTGTTTTCATGATTGAACTGGAGCAGACATGTCCACCAAAGACCCACTGGCCAGCAAGGGTGGGCTTTCACTGGGTCCAAATGGCTTTGTGCTGGAGCTTCAGTCTCCTGCCTCTGGTCTAGCTCTTAGAAGGGCCAGTTCCCATCTTCAGGAATGCTCCTTTTGCTTCATTTGGTTGGGTAACAGAGACAGGGAATGTGAGTGTATATCCACGTACACAAAGGGTCTCAGCAAGAAGAGCTCAGTCCTGACTGCACCTTTATGACCACATGGGTTAAGTAGCTTTTATTTATTCCCTCAGCTTCTTTGTGGCCTGGTTGAGGTGGATCAAGAAGAGCTACTCAAGAGCTATGAAAGCTGATAAATTCATGAGGAAGACAAGAGCTGCAAACCTAATGAAGAATTAGAGCAGACGTGGGGCAGATGATTATATATGTGCAAGAACTCAGATTATTAGTACATTCCCGAAATTGGAAATGGCCTTTATGTGACCTCTCTGAACAATGCATCTTCTTTTGGCTGGAATTAACATAACATAGTCTTGAAATAGCAGGAGATGGATGAGAAAGAAGGTTTTACCTGATGTTTTTAATGGTTTCCTTTCTGCACCAGGGAGGAAGCATTTTACAGTCTCTTTGTATGTAAAGAGTACAAGTCTGTGGGTTACTGCAGTGGCTGACTGGTCTGTGCATCCCTGCCTGAGCCTGATGGAGAGAAAAGGCATTGGATTGCT